AACCAACAGACTTAAAAACTCCTTTGTCCCACACGCCATCAGACTGTTTAACTCCTCACTGGAGGGGAGAGGGAGGGGAGACAGGGGGACAAGGGAGGGCGGGAACAACTGAGCTGTAGGTGCTTCTCTACACTGTGCAATATTTGCAATATTTGTTTTTTGTTTTTGTTTTGTCTTTTTTCTCATATTTGACTGTCCAATAATCACTGTGCAATATACTCACTCAAATGAGCAATCCTATTTATCCATATTGTATATTCTGTATCTATATATGTGTATATGTTTATATATGGTGTATTTATACTTATTTCCTTACTCTCATTCCCCTTAATGTATCTGTAACATGCAACTTCTTTCGGTGCTTTGCTACTGGAAACTGAATTTCCCGGAGGAACCCACCCGAGGGACTAATAAAGTTTCATCTAATCTAATCTAATCTAATCTAATCTAATCTAATAATCCACATTTCACTGTTTTACTCTTTGGTTCAGATGTGGATACGGTATTGTTCTTTCTTTGTGATTTTTTTTTTCATGTTCAATCAAATGGTGGGTTTAATAAATTTGTCCATATTTCTAGAAATGAGAGCTGCTCCATCCAAAGTGGGATGGATGCCATCTCTCCTAACAAGAGCAGGTTTCATCCAGAAGGTTTGCCAATTATCTATGGAGCCCACATCCAGGTGTCATTACTGCCGCCGTGAATCATAATTTTACTGAATTTACGTTTACCCTTAGCCAGCAGTTTTAAATTTTCCTCAATGTTGCCTGCTCTGGCCCCTGGAAGACAATTGTCTATGGTTGCTGGTGTCTCTAGCTTCACATGTCTGAGAACAGAATCGGCAATTACAAGAGTTTGACCCCAGTGGGTGGAACAGGAAGTGACACTCTACTGCAGAGAGCGAACCCCAAGTGACAGTGCCACCAAGAGCTTCCAGTCAGCCCTGGACTGATTGAAGAATAGTAACTATTGTGAGAATCACTTAAATACATCAGAGCTTATGTGTGCTATCTTAGATTAAATAAAAGTGCATTATTACATTTGGCAATACTATATAAAACATACTGATTCATGCTCATCATCCAGGTAAGCGAATCCCTAAAATTTGATTCTGTTCATCTGGACATAGTTTTTATTTTTCCTGAATTTTCACAGAGACAATAACAGGAGTCCTGATGGTGGGGGTCAGCAGCTGCCTATGTGTGCTTTGTGTCAGGATGTCCTGAAACATCCCGTTTCTACTAGCTGTGGACACACAGAAGATGACTCCTGTCCCCATAATGGAGAAAGATCGAGCAATGGACTGCAGTCAACTGGACAGAGGAGCTGTATACATAGTAAGATTGAACATCTGTCTACTAAAAGATTTTTCAAACATTAAAGTTTTCTTCCTTTTTGGTCTTAAATATTATCATGTCTTTCAGCAGATGTTGATCTGCAGGAGGCTTTAGATAAACATAAGATCAGTCTGAGGAAGAGATGCGAATGTGTGACTGAAGGAAGTGATGAAACAGAAAGTAGAACCCTCCTCAACACCATCTACACTGAGCTCTACATCACAGAGGGACAGAGTGAAGAGGTTCATATCCTACATGAGGTGAGGCAGCTGGAGACAGCTTCCAAGATGGACGCCCTCCATGACGCTCCAATCAGGTGCCAGGACATCTTTAAAGCCTTACCTGACCAACAGAGAC